GAAGATCTTCACAGAACCATTCAACTTCAGCTTTTTCAGCATTAGTGGTCGGGGTATAGACTTGGATTACTATTGAATGGTTTGCCTTGGAAACAAACAGAGATCATTCTTTCGTTTTTGAGATTGCATACAAGTACTGCATTTCAGACTCTTGTTGGCTGTGAGGGCTACTCCATTTCTTCTAAGGAATTCTTGCCCACAGTAGTAGATATAATGATCATCTGAATTAAATTCGCCCATTCCAGCCCATTTTAGTTCACTGATTCCTAAAATGTCGATGTTCACTCTTGCCATCTCTTGTTTGACCACTTCCAATTTACCTTGATTCATGGACCTAACATTCCAGGTTCCTATGCAATATTGTTCTTTGCGGCATCAGACTTTACTTCCATCACCAGTCACATCCACAACTGGGCGTTGTTTCTTCTTTGGCTCAGCTTCTTCATTCTTTATGAATTTATTTCTCCACTGATCTCCAGTAGCATATTGGGCACCTACCGACCAGGGGAGTTCATCTTTCAGTATCCTATCTTTTTGCCTTTTCATACTGTTCATGGGGTTCTCAAGGCAAGAATACTGAAGTGGTTTGCCATTCCGTTCTCCAGTGGACCATGTTTTGTCAGAACTCTACGTGGCATGGCTCATAGTTTCTTTGAGTTAGACAAGGCTGTGATCCAACTGGTCAGTTCGGTTAGTTTTCTGTAATTGTGGTTTCCATTCTATCTGCCCTCTGATGGATACTCCACTGTATTGCTCAGTCTCAAATCCCCTCAAAATCAGATCCTTTTAGGCAGGTGTGACAGCATGTGACTTAAGTGGGGTGGAGGTCACAGGTGCAGAGAGTCAGTGTGGGGAGCCCAGACTGTCAGCATGCCACAGGTGCCATTTGACCTTTGGTCCTAAGTTCCCTTTGAGCTTTTTCATCACCACTCCCCTGCACAGACCCCGAGTGCTTCCTGATGGCTGTCTCCTGCTTCTTTGCTCTGAACATGCTTCCACTTTATGAGGGTCAAGTGTCAGCCCCTCAGAGTCCCACCTGGGGGACATGGCATCTAGTCATCCCTACCGCCTGCCCCTCAGTGGCACCACGGGCTTCCTCTCTGGTGGGCATTTCTGTTGGGCTTTAAAAACAATAACCTTGCCCTTTACTTTGATGGTGATCCTACTATGCTTTCTGATTCTGGAGGGTCTCCTTTTTCCAACAGGTTGATTAAAGTCAGTAAAAAAAAATAGCTGTTACTACTTGCACAAAGGTTACTTGAGTTGGTTTTTTTGGTCCTTTTAAAATACAATCATATAGAAGCTTATATGTTCCATTATAAATGCAATTCATGATCATCACAGCAAACGTTGAAGACACCAGAAATGTAGAAGAAAAAATCGCCCATTGTTACTGTTTGTAAATTTTATTTTGGTTGTTTTTTGTTTGTTTGTTTAAGGTAGCCATGATCTATATGATATATCCTAATCTGTATGATAGAGTCATATATGTCATATATAATGCAAGTATTTATTGTATATAATTTATATATACAAATATGGATCTGTTGACTAAAGAAAAATGCACAGCCTAAAAGTTGTGAGTGAAGTCTTATTGGAGGATCTTACTGAGGACTATAGCCTGGGAGACAGCCTCTCAGGTAGCTCTGAGGAACTGCTCCAAAGAGGTAAGGGAGGAGTCTGACCCTTGTAGTAGAACATCCAAGGGTTACTGGTAATCACAAAGAATAGAAATCTCAAGTTAATGATTGTAGTACTTTTCCGTGTTTGAGAAGATGCAGGAATCTGAACTCACTGAAATGATTCCTTAGATGTGCCCCTTAACTATCTAGGGCCAGTGTCTAAAGCACAGAATACAGAATACTCTTTTTCTCCATCCTGAATTGCCCTCAGGGCACACCTTCCTTGGGCAGCTGCAGGGACTGATGGCTTGATTCTTGTAAAACTGGGTTGGTGGGCAACATTTTTGTTTACTGAAATGGCAGGCAGCATTTCCTGTCCACATACCATATGTCACACATATACATGTATATCTATGAACTATGAGCTTATAAATATGTATTTAGGAATTATAAACCATGTATCATAAGCCCTTTCATAGTCCTCCAGCCTGTTCAAAGGTCATTTTTGATGGCTTCCTAACATTACATGACACTTTGTAAAGACCACTTTATACAGACCACTTTATACTATTTGACACTCAGGCTATAATCCAATTTTGTTACCAGTAAAATTCTAGTAGACACAGTTGTGGCTTCCCAGGTAGTTCAGTGGTAAAGAATCCACCTGCCAATGCAGGAGACATGGAGATGCAGTTTCAATCCCTGGGTTGGGAAGATCCCCTGGAGAAGGAAATAGCAACCCACTCCAGTATTCTTGTCTGGAGAATCCCATGGACAGAGAAGCCTGGTGGGCTACCGTCCCTGGGGTAGCAAAGAGTCAGATAGGACTGAGTGACTGAGCACATACACATTGTTGTATGCAGAGCATTGTAAGATTGTTTTTCTATAAGTTAGATTTCTAATGTGGAATTATTGACTTGTGGGGTATAGGCATTTTTTCAGCATTTTGACCAATTGCTTTCAAAACGATTCTTCCCACCCGCCCCCAACTTGTTATGTGAGAAAGATCCTTGGCTCTGGCCTTTGCCAGGGTCATTTGGTGCAGGACATATTTTACATCTCCTGCATTTTAACCTTAATAAGTGACTGGTTTGTGCATGTTTGAATTACTTATGACTAGTAAGAGAAAAAAAATAATCAGAGATTCTTACAATTTATTCAGATTTCAGCATCTGAGAGGCATTGATCAGCACTTTTATGACCGCAGCAGCACCACTATCTGGGCAAATCCTTATTACCCAGCCGGTAATTTCATCCTGGAAACGAACCTCTTTTTGGAGTTACAAATGTTCTGAGTTAATACAAGGAAAGTATTAAAGGTGATTTGGGAATAAGAACGCACATAGATTTTAGGTAATGAAGACTTTTAAAATAAATACAATTGTCCATAAAATTATTTGGAATGTGATGGTAGCTATTACACTTCTTCAGTCCCTGACGTTAATACTGATGAGTAAAGAAAGTTGAAAGAATCAACTGATAAGCTACAATTTTCTTCTGAATGTTTATATTTTATTATGTATTGTTGTGTATTTTAGGAAAAATGGGAAACAAAAGATTTCCAGTGTGCCTTAACACGTTAACACACAAATCCCTCTTATTGGGTTTAACGTTGCCACTGAGTCCTGTTGAGTTTTGCTCGTGTGCTTTTGCCCCCATCTTATGGAACTGTGCTGTATTTGAAATGGAAATTATTCTGCAGACTTTGTTTCTTGATTTGATTATGCCTCTGTTAAGCCGTGTAAAAGTAGTTGTAACGGACAGGGACAAACAGTGCAAATTCCAAGTATGATAAAGAAGAGAATGGGGTTTGAAAGCAAAAGGAATTTTGAGAATAACAATAGGAGGAAGGAATCATGAACCTGTTTTTTTTTTAGATGCAAGTAATTTTTGAACTATTCTGGTATAACTAAACAAGAATTCTCACTGATGTAACATGTGAATAAATGAACTCACCTATAATTTTGTGGTTTCTTGAATATCATTGAATATATTGAATAAATGTGATTCTCAATTGTACTTTTTCTTTGGTATTTCTTTTTAAAAATATTTATCTATTTATTTATTTTTGGCTGAGTTGGGTCTTAGTTTCAGCATACAGGCTCTTCACTGCAATGTGTGGAGTTCTCTGTAGCTGCAGCGCCTGGGCTTAGTTGCCCCTGCTGCATGTGGGATCTTAGTTCCCCTACCATCATCAAACCCATATCCCCTGCACCAGCAGGTGGATTCTCAACCACTGAGCCACCAGGAAAGTCCAAAACATGGCCTGATTTTGTGACAAGAGCCTGACCTCAGTGCCTTACAAGGATTTGTTGTTATTGTTCAGTTGCCAAGTCTTGTCCCACTCTTTGTGACCCCATGGACTGCAGCACGCCAGGCATCCTCATCCTTCACCATCTCCCTGAGTTTGCTCAAATTCATGTCCATTGAGTGAGTGATGCCATCCAACCATCTCATCCTCTGCGGCCCCTTCTCCTGCCTTAAATCTTTCCCAGTGAGTCAGCTCTTCCGCATCAGGTGGCCAAAGTATTGGAGCTTCAGCTTCAGCATCAGTCCTTCCAATGAGTATTCAGGGTTGATTTCCTTTGGGATTGACTGGTTCGTTCTTGCTGTCCAAGGGACTCTCAAGAGTCTTTGGCACCACAATTCGAAAGGGTTGCCCAGGACATTCCCTGCTGCCTTGAAGAAGCCTCGGGACCTTGTGCTCGTAGCCAGAGTTCCTGGCAAATGCAGCTGCGTCTCTGAGGCTTTGTATCTGGAGGAGCCAGCCAAGTGTGCAGTCCTATAGAGGGCAGTCTCTGCTCGGCTTTGCTGTTCGGAGCTGCCGGCTGCGGCCCTGAATACCTGGGCTTGCAGGTCCTGAGACCCTAGTCTCGAGTCTCGCCCTCAGATTCCCACCCGCCCAAAGCTCCCCGGCCCCAGCAGCCCGCAGATGAGGAGAGTGGCTGAAGGCAGCCAGGCACCCTGCGAAGGCCACCGGGTGCCCGTTGCTCCTTATTCCCAAGAGAGGGATCTGCCGGCTGCCTGATGCGTCCTGCGAACTCTTAAAAAAATTTTAGGTTAAATAAACAACCCACAAATACGTAAATAAAATGGTCTCTCTTAGAGATCATGGGGGAGGGTACTTCGCTTTGCAGCCGTAGGCGGCGGAAGTGGAGGAGGCGCTGGGAGGTGCTCCCCCCTCCCACCCGCAGCTCCCCCGGGCCACCCCTCGGGGGAAGGACTCGACCTTCTGATCGGCCGGAAAGGGGTTCAGAAGTCGTCCTTCCTTTGGATTCCTGGCCGAGGGCCGCACCTCCCCCAGCAGCCCCGGGCGGCGGGCGCGCTCCCGTCCGGCTCAGGTTGGCGCGTCCTTGGTGGGCCTCGCCGGAGGCCCCTCCGCCGCCCGCCATCGCTGGGTCATGGGCGCCGCCGGCTCCTCGGCTCTGGCCCGCCTGGGCCTCCCCGCGCCGCCCGGGCCCCGCTGGCTGGGGGTGGCCGCCCTGGGACTGGCCGCGGTGGCGCTGGGAGCCGTCACCTGGCGCCGCGCGCGGTCCAGGCGGCGCGGGCGGCTGCAGCAGGTGGGCACAGTGAGCGAGCTGTGGATCTACCCGGTCAAGTCCTGCAAGGGGGTGTCGGTGGACGTGGCCGAGTGCACGGCCCTGGGGCTGCGCAGCGGCCACCTGCGGGACAGGTAGGGCCGGGCGCGGGAACAGCGCGGGATGCGCTCAGAACGCCAGCGGGAGCGGCGGAGGCCTGCAGGATCCTTCCCTTACAAAATGGGATCTGGCGAGGGGAGGTGGGTGACGGGGGGAGGCAAGGAAAAAGAGAAAAGGGGGCCATCAGCTGCCAACGGCAGACCCAGGGTCCCGACCCGCCTTGGGGATATGGCTGTATTTCCACCTCCCACCGGCTCTCTCACGGCTTGCGCTCCAGAGTAAGTGCGGCACCTTCCCATTTGTCCCCAGGTGTCTGCCGGTGCGCGACCGAACTTCAACTTAGTCTAGCGGGAAACGCGAGCTTCACAGGCTTAGTCCCGGCCACTCTAGTTTTAGCAATTACCTCTTGAGAACTTGGGGACACAAGGAGCTTTGGAGCCCAGCCTTCAAGGAGCACACCAAGGTGGAGCACATAATCGTAATCATAGCAGTTAAAGATTAAGCTTCTTGCAGCTTAAAAAGTGCTGTTGCTTATGTTATTTTCTCTAATTTTCTCATGCACTCTTTTATGGGTAAAAAAAAAAAACCAAAAAACCCTGAGGTTGAGAGCCACCCCGTCGTGACTGGAGTCTTGGTTCTTGTTTCCTTTAGCATGCTGGTGCTTTGTAAACCCTGGTTTTACTCTACCTGGGTGGTCATGACCTGTGTGAATTCCTGGGGTTCAGCAAAGATTACCAGGGCCCAGAGCAAGGAGCTTTGTCTTCTTCTGGGTCTGGCTTCAGCCTCACTGTAAGGCTGCTCTTCAGACTCCCTCCCAGCCCAGTCCTCAGTTTCTGCAGGGAACAGTTACAGGCAGGTCTGATGCAGGCTGTAAATTTCCCTCTCCTGGCTGCCCAGAGGGTAATTCATGAGGCAGTGGAAAGGTGAGCTGTTTTTGTTATCATCCCATCAGAAAACGTGATAAAGAGAAGCAAACACAGGCTTGCAGTCCTAGATGATAATTGACTCAATGTGACTAGTGCCCGGGAAGCCAGAGGAAGGAGCGGGTGGAAGGACTTCCTAGCTGGCACTGAAAATGTGGTCTATACACACTGGACTATTATTTACCCAGGAATGAATTTCTGATCCATGCTACAGCATAGACCTTGAAAACATTATGTTAAGTGAAATAAGCCAGAGACAAAAGGACAAACACTGTATCATTCCAGTTATATGAAATATCTAGAATAGGCAAATTCATAGAGAGGGAAAGTGAGAGATAGCCAGGGGCAGGGGCCAGATGGGAATGAAATAGGTAATTATTGCTTCATGGATACTGAGTGTCTGTTTGGGATGATGAAAAGGTTCTGGAAATAGATAGTGGTGATGGTTGCACAACATTGTGAAATTATTTAATGCCACTGAATTGTGTGCTTAAATATGGTTCAGATCCTATTTTTTTCATGTCCATTCTCTGTTGTTGGAGATTTGCATTGTTTGTGTTTTTGGCATCATGAATAATGCTGCAGTGAACATTGGTGCGCAAGTACCTATTTGAGTTCCTGCTTTTAGTTCTTCTGGGTATATGCCTAAGAATATGTTGGATATTTTATGCTGTGTGTATCTTACCACAGTGAAAAAATTGAAAAGGAAAAGAAAGGCTGGCATATGTGAGATCACAGATGGTGAGAATGACTGGGAGGGCAGCTGGATTGGAAAGGGTCTTGCAGAAGAGTTAGGGTTTTATTTTAAAAATTTAACTATGGGGGAACTTTGCATGAGGGTGACATGATTAGATTTGTATTTTAGAAATATCAGACTACCACTATTACAAGGAAGAATTAGCAGAAAGAATATTCAAGTGCTGGTACCAGGGATCTGACCCAGGATAGAACTGTGTCTAGGATGAAGAACCAACAAGAGGAAGTTCCTTTAGCACAGGACTTACACTAAGTTTGTTTTTTAGCAGGGCTGAGAAACTCAGCCACCTGCTGGAGGTGGTGATCTTAATTGTCTGCCATATTTTTTACTTATGTCTGTGGATCTCTGGGGAGGGAGAGAGTGCGCCACATGGAGAAAGTAGCATCAATGTATATACACTATCCGGCGTAAGACGGATAGCTGGTGAGAAGTTGCTGTGTAGCATGGGCAGCCCAGTCTGGCGCTCTGTGATGAACTGGAGGGATGGGATGGCGGGAGGGGAGGGAGGCTCTGCAGGGATGGGATGTGTGTATAATTACAGCTGATTTGCATTGTTGTATGACAGAAACCAGCACAACATTATAAAAATTAAGAAAATGAAAAATAAAAAAAAATATGAATGGCCAAAAAAAAGATACACGCAAAAGAAAAAAAGAAACACAAGCTGACTCTTGTCATAATCATTCCACTCAGTTGAATCTTCAGTTCAGTTCAGTCACTCAGTTGTGTCTGACTCTTTGTGACCCCATGGACTGCAGCACACCAGGCCTCCCTGTCCATCCCCAACTCCTGGAGTTGACTCAAACTCATGTCCATTGAGTCGGTGATGCCATCCAACTATCTCATTCTCTGTTGTCCCCTTCTCCTCCTGCCTTCAATCTTTCCCAGCATCAGGGTCTTTCTGTTTAGTATGAATGGAAATGACCAAAATGTTAGTGTGTCTAGCTTCCTGGGTAGCTGAAGCTCCCTCTATGCAAATGCATCATTTTTTTTTTTTTCCTGGAAACAGTTCAATCTATTGCTCTTCTTTCTCGATTTCTCTTTGTTCTGGGAAGTACCTCTAGACTCTGAGTATTGAGCCAGAAAAGAATATTGTCCACATTAACAATAGCCCTTTTGACAAATTGCAGAAGTCACAGCTCTGATTACTGAAACATTAACTTTTTTGAAAGGTGGGAGTGGATTTGGCGAAGTGTAAGTGGCATTGATTGTTGTTCAGCTCGACTCCACAGTCTGTGGACAATACAGCAGTGTCTTGTTTCCACCAGCAGGAATGCCTCCTGGTGCCAGGCACGAGGCTTCCTTGTCTTTCTCTGAGATATCATTTACTTAGGGCAACTGAGATGAAGATAGAACTTCTTTGATTTTTGTGCCATCAAGGAGCTCAGAATATTTTGCAGATATTTTGTTTGACGCATGAGTGATTATTAAACACTGTGAAATGGACTGACAGATTCAGTCTTGCTGGACTGATGAACTGATGTTTAGGACAGACAGACAGACACACACACACACACACAAGTTTCCACCAGCAGGAATGCCTCCTGGTGCCAGGCACGAGGCTTCCTTGTCTTTCTCTGAGATATCATTTACTTAGGGCAACTGAGATGAAGATACAACTTCTTTGATTTTTGTGCCATCAAGGAGCTCAGAATGTTTTGCAGATATTTTGTTTGATGCATGAGTGATTATTAAACACTGTGAAATGAACTGACAGATTCAGTCTTGCTGGACTGATGAACTGATGTTTAGGACAGACAGACAGACACACACACACACACACAGAAACACCAGGCTTACAGTGAGGAAATCAAAGATGACAGTGCACCCCTGAAGCTCCCCCAGAGACTGGCTCTCTGCCATGGTGGCCATGCATATCTTGTGTTTTGAAAATGGCAGGTTTTGGCTTGTGATCAACAAAGAGGGGAACATGGTCACAGCGCGACAGGAGCCCCGCCTGGTCCTGATCTCCCTGACCTGTGAGGGTGACGCGCTGACCCTCAGTGCGGCCTACACCAAGGACCTACAGCTGCCCATCAAGACGCCCACCACAAATGTGGTGCACAAGTGCAGGTGAGGGAAGGCTAGACCTTAATCTTGACGTGAATATTTCTTCGTACAGTTTTGGCAAGCTGTGGGCTGTGGAGGGAATTCAGAGAAATGTTATCAATAATTAACTATTGATTGCAGATGTACCATATGTAGGGTCAAGTTCTCAACGTGGTGATGATCTAAAAGAAGGTGGGAAAGGGGGCAACTTCAGAAAAAATATGCGCCGATATGGAGCAGAGAAAGAAAAGTCTTTTGCAGTAAACTATGGGAACAAAGGCATATTGATATAACATCACCAGTGGATAAAGGATGCAAATTGGGGCAGAAGGAGTGGAGAGAGAATCCTAGAAGAGGTGAGGTTAGATCCATGTATTACCTTGGAATCATCTCTGTGTTGCTAGGAAAGACTGGGAACTTTCCAAATCTGAGTTATGGAAGGAGTCATAAATGGCTATATGACCCATGGTATTTAGTCCTAATGAACTTCCAGAATAGACAAGAATGTCTGCAATCAGAAGAGTGACCTGACCTGCAGATGCCCAGGGAGGAGGCTGCTCTGTACAGAGGCTCTTTCCTTAACATCAGAAGGACAAGGGGGCAATTATTCCAGGAAAAGTGGCTCTGTCTTAAGAAATCATGTCTAGAGTTGGGTTTTTTAAAATCTTTTTACGGGAAAGTCAAGATGTGATCTAATTATACTGTTGTAATAATGACTGCCTTTTGAATTAAAATGCAACGTGAATGCTAAATTAGTCCACAGCCTATTATAGAGAATAATATCACATCCAAAAATGTAGCTACTTGATTGGGAAAAAAATGAAGTTACCTAAAAAGCCTAAAGACACCCCAACACTCATAAAATGCAAAATTAATATAATTTCCATAATATCAGAATTGTAAATACAATGTTTTAATTTTAATTTGGGGCTTTCCTTGTGGCTCAGCAGTAAAGAATCTGCCTGCTAATACAGGAGACTCGAGTTCAATCCTTGGGTCAGGAAGATCCTCTGGAGTAGAAAATGCAACCCACTCCAGTATTCTTGCCTGGAAAATCCCATGGATAGAATGAGGCTGGTGGGCTACAATCCATGGGATCGCAAAGAGTCCGACACGACTTAGCGACTTAACAATATTTTGCTGGTTTTTCTGATTATAAAAGTTATACATATTCATTGTTTAAAATTGGAAAATACCAAAAAACAAAACAAAACAAAACAAAACCCTTCTGAGACATCTATAATTCGTATTTTGACATATCTTCTTTCTGTCTCTAATTGCTAATACTTTAAAAACCATTGAAATACTACAGAAGACTGTCTTGAATATGATTCACATACTTAGGTGGACATGTTGAGTATTTTTCAGATTGTTAAAAAAGTCTTCAAACATACCATTTTCATGTTGGTGTGATATTTCATCCCATGAATGTCTTTGAATGCCTTTTGACATGTCCCCAAGATTAAACATTTGGATTGTTTTCAGTTTTTTTCTAGGTATGAAGAAGAATGTGATGAATAACTTGGCATAAATCTCTGTTCATATTGTTTATTATTTCCTTAGGGAAAAAATTTTAGCAGTGGCTTCACCAACAAGAGTATGACTCCTGTAGACTTTTATTTATTTATTTGGCTGTGCTAGGTCTTCGTTGCATGGACTTTATCTAATTACAGCGAGCAGGGCCTACTCTAGTTGTGGTGCGTGGGCTTTTCATTGCGGTGGCTTCTACTGTTGCTGCGCATGGGCTCTAGGGCATGCGGACTTCAGTAGCTGCAGCTCCCAAGCTCTAGAGGGCCAACTCATGGACTTAGTTGCTCCACAGTATATAGGATCTTCCCTGATCTGTGTCTCCTGCATTGTCAGGTGGATTCTTTACCGTTGGGTCACCAGGGAAGCCCTCCTGTAGGCATTTGATAAGATATAGCTATATACTATATAGATATATATACATGCATATATATGTATATAGTGCTAAATCATTTTGCAGAGTGGTTATTATACCAGGTGTATATTTACCAGCAGGTTATGTGTCTCATTTCTTTTTGACCATTATATTCAAAGATCTTTTGCCATTTTTGTGAGAAAAAACGGTAATTTCATACTGATTTAATTTGTATTTTTGATTGCCTGAGGCAGACTTTTCAATATGCCTATTGCAATGTGTATTTCCTGTTTCTCCATATTCTGGTTCCTGCTTGCCTGCCAGGGTGAGACATTTACCCATAATTTCTTGTGGTTAACAATTTTTCATTTAACTATTGGTTCACTTGGAATTATGTGGAAGCTTTTCCCGGTCCTGTACAGGCTTTTGGTTTATTCCCCCAAAGACGACACAAGGGCATGTTGGGAAATTGCAAAATAAGGAGGCTTAGACGTGCTATAGATAAAAGATGCCAAAAATCCTTTGAACTTAGATTTCCTTTAGCAACCCAGGCTATTCTCTTGTGAAGGAGCTGTAACTTCAGCTCACTTTCCTAAAGATTTTTGATGCATTTGGAGGGCCAAAACTTTCAAAAGTTCATGATCATAGCCACTACACTTGTTTCACAGCTTTCAGATAGATGTTTTCAGAAGATTTTATGAGCCCAAATTCTCGTATCTTCTCATACCTAAAAAAAATCAATGAAATCTGCCCCTTGTTTCTTGCAGCAACCTTCTACTAAGATGTGTGCTTGATCGCACAAATGCTCCGTCACCAAAATCACTTATGAATAGACCTCCCCCCACCTCTATGAAGCATTTCCTCAGAGCTATCTGAGAGGCTGTCTCCTGGGCCATAGTCCTCAGTAAGTCCCCAAATTAAACTGAACTTGCAGCCCTCATGTTGTGCATTTTTTCAATTGACACCCCCAATTGGCTCCATAGGTACCCCCAACTCTTAGCATGCCTCACCCACATCACCGCCAACTCTGGCTGGCTCCTGGTATGCATTTCCGACAAACTTTGGCAGACAGCACATACAGTGAGCACGTACAGGAAGGTAGCTTAAATCTGCAGGGNAAAAAAAAAAAAAAAAAAAAGAACCAAACAGAAATTCTGGAGGGGAAGAATAAAATGAATGAAATTAAAAATGTAGTGGAGTGCATCAACAGCTGAATGGATCAAGCGAAGGAAAGAATCTATGAGAATAAACACAGGATCTTTGAAATTATCTAGTCAGAAAAGAACAACAAAAAAGAGTGAATAAAACCTATGTGGTCTATGGGATATCATTAAAAGAAACAATTTGTGAATTATTGGAGTTCCTGAAGGAGAAGAGAAATAGAAGGTGGCAGAAAGATTATTTGAAGCTAAGAAATTCCCAAATCTGGGAGAGATTTGCTATCAACCAATGTGATGAAAGGGCTTCCCTGGTTGGCAGAGATTTTTTAGATATGAGAAACACAAACAAGAAAAGCAAAAATAAATAAATGGGACTCCATCAAACTAAAAAACTTCTGTACAACAAAGAAAACTATCAGTAAAATGAGAAAAAATATTTGTAAAACATGTATCTGGTAAGGGGTTAATAACAGGATAAAAACTCAAACAGTCCAATTAAAAAATGGGCAGAGGAACTAAGTGGACATTTCATATAGAAGACATAGGTCCCTTGACTCTGTCCTCTTTCCCAAACTTCAGCATTTTCAAAACATGATCATGATTTGTGTTGAATTATAAACCACTTACTTACTTACTTGATGTTTTTCTTTAAATTGATTCAACTTTTAAAAAACCTGAAATATGGAAGGAAGGAAGTGTTAGTCGCTCAGTAGTGTCCGACTCCGCGATCCCATGGTCTGTACCCCTCCAGGCTCCTCTGTCCATGAGATTCTCCAGGCAAGAATATTGGAGTGGGTTGTCATTCTTTTCTCCAGGGAATCTTCCCAACCCAGGGATCCAGCCCAGGTCTCCTGCATCTCCTGCATTGGCAGGTGGATTCTTTACCACTGAGCCACCTAGGAAGCCCCTATTACCATTATACCAGCCTTTTAATAAAGATTTCTGTCCAACTGGGTGAACCATATTCTTGCAGCAATTTTATTTTATACTAATACATTAGGGTTCTTCTGGAGAACTCCCTCTCTTTTCAAACACATGATTTCATTTTATTCTGCCTGCATTCCTTTCAGGCAAGGCATCGCAAGGCTGCATCTGCATCTCTGGTTTATAAAATAGATAAGCAACGAGGATTTACTCTATAGCACAGGGAATTACATCCAACATCTTACAATAACCTATAATGGAGTATAATCTGCAAAAAAGCTGAGTCACTAGATTGTGCACCTGAAATTAACCAAATATGGTAAATCAACTATAAAAAAAGTGGAGAAAGGAGGGATTGAAATTCTGTCTTTATTTGGGTTTCCACATGGTTCAGAGTCAGGGCCAGGCTAAAATGACGTCTCCTGGTAATGAAGGAACTGCAGCGACGTCACAGCGAGGTGCAGACTTTCGGATCTGTGCGGGACGTGGCAGGGTGTCCAGGTTGTCAAAGTCATGCCTGTCCTTTGTCCCCACCCCTCACAGAGTGCACGGCTTGGAGATTGAGGGCAGAGACTGTGGCGAGGCCGCGGCCCAGTGGATAACAAACTTCCTGAAGACGCAGCCCTACCGCCTGGTGCACTTTGAACCCCACATGCAACCGAGAAATTCTCACCAAGTGGAAGACGCATTCCGACCCACGGACCAGGTCAGAGGATCGCCCCTTGGTTTTTGGCCTTCACTGTGTGTCCTGTGGAAGGCAGGCTTCCTTGGAAGGGGAGAGCATGGCACATGTCTGCTGAGCTCAGATCTCATCTTTTATCTTTTGTGATCTCTTAGGACAAAAGCTGTTACTTTTGTCACAAGCTATTGGTTAAAAATAAACCCTTCCCTTGGGAGCATCATCTGTGTTTCTTGATTTGGAGGACTCTTGCATTTTTGCCCGAGAGCAAAAATTCCTACTTATAGAAGCTTCTGGTGCCAACATGGCTTCAAAACTCTTCTAGGTCAGTATCTTTCCCAGTCCCTCTGTAATTGCATGAGAAGTCCAGCCTTTTTACACTGGGATTGCCATGTTGTGTCAGATCTCAGTTGGGCAAATGAGTATAGACATGGAGATCCACAGATTTAAAATGACCAGGCTGGCCCTCAAAGGAATAAGGCTTTAAAAATTCATCCTAAGAGTGAAACATACAATGGTTTGTGGCACCGTTGCCACAGCCATTTTGAATGTTGATTTGCATGCTTCATGAAAAATACATATCCATGGAATCAGTGACTATTTTTTATCATACCTAATGAGGTCATCAAACCCAACCACCTTATTAAGATCAATCTGTGAGAGTTTGGAGGATGAGAAAGGGGCAGCTCTAGGATTCTGAGACCCCATTTTCTTCACTCCACCATGCAGTTCCTGTTATCTGCAAGGCTATTGAAAGCTTCTGAATCGCTGTGACTTTGCTATAAAAAGAAATAGAGAAATACTTAGAAAGATTGCGTGGGGAGGTGGGGTGAGGGAGGGGTGGAAGGTTCCAGGAACCAGACCCATGTGACCTCTGAGAAATGCCTTTGTGTGTGTCACGCTCTAACAATTTTTCTTTCCTCATCAGATCCCGTACTCAGATGCCAGTCCCTTCTTGATCCTTTCCGAGGCATCGTTGGCAGATCTCAACTCCAGGCTAGAGAAGAAAGTTAAAACAGCTAACTTCAGGCCCAATATCGTAATTTCAGGCTGTGGTGTCTATGCAGAGGTAACGTTATGCCTCCCTTGCTCCTTTCCTTGGACTTAACTGTTTTTTTTTTATTTTTTAAGGTGTGAGGGTCTTTGATGCTTGATTAGGTTATTCTGAAGGATGCATATTTTTTGGGGGGACCACAGTGCCTCCTGGTGGAGAAATGTACACAGAACGGGCTGGTGCACTCTAACCTGAGGTGCCCAACATTTTGGACTGTTGTGAAACATGTAAGAGACTCATTTTATGATTAAAAAGCAAAAACAAAACTCTGCAGTACACATATGAAGAATAACACACACTATTAGAGTTAAAATTCTGGGTCTGGAACTTTCTCTCTGGCTTGTGATCAATAAAGGACTGGGCCGGTTTAACTCTGGATTCTTATCTTCAGCCCCTTTGTGAGAGTAAGATGGTCAGGACCACAATCAGACGTCCTTCCTTCTTATTATTGCCTTGCATCCCTCACCCTTTTTTTGTATCTCTCAAAGTTTCCACCCTGGAAGACTCAATTCAGATCCCACCTTTTCCTTAAAACCTCCCTGACCAGAGCAGGGCAGCCTGAAAATCTCTTCTCTACACCACCAGCACAGGCTTGCTTGCACAGATCAATCAGCACAAGGGTGCTGTCTTACAATGCTTTCTCTCTGTTTTTCTGGACCTTTTAAAAGGAATGCTGATCATTCACGTTTCTTATGTGTATGTGCTGTCTCCCCTGCTGGATTTGAGAGGCACAGTCCATTGATTTGATTTGTCCTTAGAGTAGGCACCAGTGACCCAGGCCATAGACAGATGCCCGAGGACCTTCCTGGGCTGGAGAGCTTTGTATTCATAAATGCTCCTCTGGAGATGCCAAGGGAAGTGAGGTTACCGGCCTGCTCTAGATTTGTTCCTATCCATTCAGGGGAGATACAAGATAAATAGATGCAATGATTAAGGATCTTAATCCATTTTAGGCGAGCAGGAAAGGATATTCTGCAACCTAGAGTAATCCCCCCTCTCCGTTGCTTCCTGCATCAGCCCCTATCCTTGCCTTCCCCACTGCCTCCAGTCAGACAGGGTCAGTCAGGGAGGCTTCCTAGGAGATGAATTTCTTTTTTATTTTTATTTTTAAATTTTTCTTGGAGTATAGTTGCTTTACAATGTTGTGTGAGTTTCTGCTAATTGAATCAGCTATATTTGTACCTATATGACCTCTTTTGGATTTCCTTCTGATATAGGACCATTGAGTAGAGTTCCCTGTATAGGTTCTCATTAGCTATCTATCCTATACGTGGTATCAATAGCGTATATGTGTCTGCCTCCATCTCCCATTTCCTTTCACCCTCTCGTCACCCTTGGTATCCATGTGTGTTCTCTATGTCAGCATCTCTCCGCTTTGCAATTACGTTTGTACCATTTTTCTAGATTCCACATATGAGTGATACCATCCAGTATTTATTCTTCAGAGATGAGTTTCAATTCTGGTTTTACAAGTGAGAGGAAGGGGAGCGTTTCATTTCAGGGGAAAGAATTGACAGATCAAAGAAGGAGGGTGGAAACAGGAAGGCATGATGTGAAGTCAGCCATCACTGATGGAAATGACTGCTGAGCTGTCGAACCCCATGACATCCCCCTCACAGGAGTGAGTCAGGGCTGGGGCTCCGAGGTGCTCACCGGACTTCTGTGCTTTGGCCCCAGGACTCATGGAATGGGCTTCTTATTGGTGACGTGGAACTGAAAAGGGTGATGGCTTGCTCCAGGTGAGACGCCCGCGCTGCTGCTCGAGAACGGGAGGAGAAGGGGACTGTCTGCTTTGTCCAGTGTATGATGCCTGTGTGTGTGTCCAGGTGCATTTTAACCACAGTGGACCCGGATACCAGCGTCATGAGCAGGAAGGACCCACTGGAGACCCTGAAGAGGTAGGACCATGCGATTTAATATCTCTTCGAAGAAGCAGGGAGAAGGGGGTACTAGTGACTGGGTAATTTAGGAACTATTCCTGGGTGCTTTGATCTCGGAATGCCTACTTGCACAACTAATTTTACTTTTCATTTAGAATTCGTGATCCGAGCACACCAGTTAAAAAGCAACAACACATGGTTTAGATATTTTGACCAGCTTTACCATGGACTTCCCATTAGGTGACCTCACAAACTCATTAGGTGTGATAAGGGCTTTCTAGTGCTTTAAGAAATGCCCAACTGTTTTGGAGGAACATGTTGAAGTATGCAGGAGTGAAGTGAGGTGATACCTGGAGTGTGCTGAAATTTTGGCCAAAGCACAGATGGAAAAATATGTCAGTCTTGATAAATAGAATCTGGGTGACAATTGGGTGGGGATTCACTGCACTATTTTTTCTACTTTTTTGTTTATGTTAAAATTTTCGCAGTAAAAATTTTTTAATGAAAGTGACAGGTAAGTTTAAATTGTATAGATCAATATTTATGATAATGTTCATTTTAAAAAGCTGATTACAAAATTGCATATATAGTACTGACTTTTTTGTTATTTTATTTTCCTTTTTAAAATATATAAATTCCCCTGAGTAGCTAAAAGGCTGGAAGTCTATAAACTGAAACATTAATGAAGGTGTTCTTTTGGTAATGGAATTATGGGGAAAATATATATTCTGATAGGTAGCCTCTAAACTTTCTCTAAGCAACCTGCAGTACATTTGCTAAAACAATTCATGATCCATGCCCTTCTGTTTTCTGCAAATCTGGAGCCAGGACATGGTGGAAACCCTCAGAGTGACACTCTTCTTCCCTGGTCTTCTGTTTTGAATGCAGGATCACAGGTGGGCTGTCAGGTCTCGTTTCTTCAGCCCCTGAGGCCTTTGGCTTGGGCCCTGACATGCATCCTTGGATGTTACTTGCAGAGGAGGAGAGGGAAGATAGGGGGCGGGGTTTGGTAACTCCTGCTTTAGGCAAAGCCCCAGAAGACTTGAGGAAGGAATGCAGTGGAAGTTTGGCCATCTGACATAAAAGGCATCGTGAAGAGCACATTAAGAGGAGGTTATACTGGGACTTGTGTGACCAAACTTGTTCCCCTGGAATGGGAATCTGTTTCGTTCCATCTTTCATCAAGTTCGTTGGTCCAAGCTCTTTGGACCACCAGTCTCCTTCAATCAGCACTCATTCCTCTCTTGGGCTTCCCTAGTGGCGCAGATGGTAAAGAATCCGCCTGCAATGCAGGAGACCTGGGTTCGACCCCTGGGTCAGGAAGATCGCCTGGAGAAGGGAATGGCTACCCACTCCAGTATTCTTGCCTGGAGAATCCTATGGACAGAGGAGCCTGGTTGGCTTCAGCCCGTGGGGTTGCAAAGAGTCAGACATAGCTGAGCATGTACACATACATCACTGTCTGCTGATCCTGCTATCCCAGAAGCTACTGTCTGGCCCCTCCCTGGCAGGCTGAAGCCTGGGGCTGGGGGCTCTGTCCCAGACAGCACATTGCCCCCAGGCATGAAGCCAGCACCTGTGCTCCATGGAGACCAGCGTCCTGCATCAAGACCAGGCTATAGTGAGGTGGACAGTTGGCATTCCAAGGCCAGGCCACATGGCAGAGAGAGGGAGGTCGGGAGCAGAGTCAAACAAAGTGGGTTGGAGAGAGGTTGGGAGGGGAGATTCTGAATTACTGAGGTGAAGGTCAAATGGCTGCTTTTTCTCTGGATCCCCACCATTGAGTGCGAATTTGCAGAAACATTCAAAGAGGAGGCTACACCTGGATGGGAGGGGAGTTTTGGGGAGAAATCCTGCATGTGTATGTATGGCTGAGTCCCTCTGCTGTACGCCTGAAACTATCACAACATTGTTAATCAGCTGTGTGTGTGTGTCTCTGTGTGTGTGTGTGTCTGTGTGTGTGTCTGTGTGTGTGTGTGTCTATGTGTGTGTGTGTTCGTGTGTGTCTGTGTGTGTGTCTATGTGTGTGTGTGTGTCTGTGTCTGTGTGTGTCTGTGTCTGTGTCTCTCTTTGTGTGTGTCTATGTGTGTGTGTGTCCCTGTGTGTGTGTGTCTCTGTGTGTGTGTGTCGTGTGTGTCTGTGTGTGTGTCGTGTGTGTCTGTGTGTGTGTCCCTGTGTGTGTATCTCTGTGTGTGTATCTTCAGTCAAGAATACTGGACTGTTTTGCATTCCCTTCTCCAGGGGAATCTTCCTGACTCAGGGATCAAACCCGAGTCTCTCGTGTCTCCTGCTTTGCAGGCGGATTCTTTACCCTCTGAGCCACCAGAGAAGTCCCATTAATTGGCTATATTCCAATACAAAATAAAAAGTTTAAAAAAATAGGCTACGAGGATATATTGTACAACATAGGGAGCATAGCCAATATTTTATAATAACTATAAATGGAGTATTATCTTTAAAAATCATGAATCACTACACTTGTAACATATAATATTGTACATCAACTATGCTTCAATAAAAAAAAGAGAAAAGAAGGAAAAAAAGAGTCGGACAAGACTTAGCAACTGAGCAACCACCAAAAGTTAATAGGTATAGCACTTAAGATTTATACATTTCACTCCTTGTAAATTTTATCACCCCTCAAAAATAGTTATGAAATGTTAACCCTAGGAAATGATATTCCAGATGAACTGTTTCAAGGTGAAATTTGCTGACATCTGTCACTTAATTGGAAATGGAAAAAAATGATGATGGATTGACGGATGGATAAATATATCTGATAGAGGAAATACAATAAAATGTTATGTGTAGGGTCCAAATGACTAGCAATTGAATGTTCTCTGTAAAATTCTTTTAACTCATCTGCCTGTTTGATGATGAAAGTGTTGGTCACTCAGTAGTGTCCGACTCTTTGCAACCCCATGGACTGTAGCTCACCAGGCTTCTCTGTCCATGGAATTCTCCAGGCAAGAATACTGGAGTGGGTAGCCATTCCCTCCTCCAGGGTATCTTCCTGACTTGGGTTGAACCCGGGTCCCTTGCATTGCAGGTGGATTCTTTACCGTCCAAGCCACCAGGGAAGCCCAGGAGAGGGATGGGTGCTGATCAAAGGAGACTGGTGGTCTCAAGAGCTTGGACTAACGAGCTTGGTGAAAGATGGAACGAAACAGACTCCCTTTCCTGCATTGCAGACAGATTCTTTACCGTCCAAGCCGCCAGGGAAGCCCCATTTGTTTGAGGATGGTCGTGATGAAATGTTGGAGAAGACTTTATTAGCTGTGACCGGACACTCTGGAGGGGAGCGAGTCTGAGAAGCTGCAGCGAAGGACTGGTGGTTCCTCCAAATGTGCTGGCTCACTCACAATTAGCACAGACTGGAAGTTCCTCCATCTTCCCACTTTCCTGTGGTTGCCGAGGAGCTCTGTGGAGGAGGAAGGCAGGGCAGGTGGGGGACAGCACCCCGCCATGGTGTTAGCAGTCCTGGTTTTGCCAGGTGATCAGCAGGCTCCTCTCTAGCTCAGGCCCTTCCTCCCTGTGAAGTCAGTGGAACAGGACAGACCTCCGTTGGTTCTGTATACAAGCCAGCCAGATGATCTGGAGAATTGACTGCCATCCATTTGTATACATCATCTTGTTCTCTCCTCCCGACAGAGCTTGGTGCCTGGTACCTTTCCTTTTGGATTCAGAAAGTGTCTGTCTTTGGGGCCAGTCCTCTGAATCTTTGGGGCCCCTCCTTCCCTTGGGATCTTGTGTTTATAGAAGGAAGAAAATTGACCCCTGGGAGCAGCCCAGCCCTCTGGATCTCCTGCTGCCCCTCAGCAGCCCAACCATTCCACCCTAATTGCTCTTAATACCCCAGGAGACGGGGCAGCCAGCCTAGGTGTCTTCTGTATCTTACTGAGATTTAAATTGCCATAGATGCCATGATTTATGTCCCTCCCAGGACAGATGGCCATAAATCAGGAAGAGAAAGGCCTGGGCAGCCTGACATAAATTACAAAAGCAAAGCAAAGCGGTTTTGGGGGCCTCCCCTCTGCTCCCTGGCTACCCTCCTGGGCAGGGTACCTGGGCACACTGCCTTCCCTCTTCCTGGGTCCCCTGTGCCCCAGGGCTATGCTGATCCAGGAAGGCAGGTTCTCAGCCGGGAGACCAGTGCTGAATGGCTGCTGATCGCAGGCCCAGAGGAACATTTGTGAAGTACTCACAGTGGAGGCCGGTCTGCTGGCAGGAAAATATGAAGAAGGAATGACTCTTTTCTTTCTGGAGGGAGAGTGACTCCCACCCTGATCCCACAGGAGCCGTGCGGGTCTGTCATTGTTCCTTTCAATAGGAAGAATCAGCTCATTTGTTCTGTCAATACACGTGTTTTGTTAAATGCAGGAGGACTTGGACAGTGACATTTGCTGCTCTCCGCCTGTGTCAGGCTGTGCTGTGCTGAGGTAAAGACAGAAGGATTGGGTGTGGGTGATACTATGGAAGGAGACAGCTGCCTCCCACCTGACCAGGCTCTGTCATCTCCTGCCCCCGTAACTGTGTGACATTGGCAAGTCAGATACATGCTTGATGTTTCAGTTTATTTGCAAAAACTGACCTAATAAGAGGAAGTGGCTTAGTGGTAAAGAATCCACCTGCCAGTGCAGGGCACACGTGAAACCAGGGTTCAGTCCCTGGGTCAGGAAGATCCCCTGGAGGAGGGCATGGCTGCCCACTCCAGTATTCTTGCCTGGAGAATTCCATGGACAGAGAAGCCTGGTGAGCTACAGTCCATGGGGTTGCAAAGAGTCGGACACAGCTGAGAGTGAGCACACACGCATGGACTCATAACACCTCTCCTGGTTTACTCTCCCCCTTGGTTAGAATAAAGCAATAAGTACTACTTTTAAAAATAGATGATAAAATACATAATGACCATGTAGACTGTGGTTATTGATAGGCTCAGCTTATGAGCTTGGCACATTCTGAGAGAAGGAAAATCCTGGAGACACTTCTTTCCATTTTCTGAGGCTGCATTAAAGGCAAGGCAGCCCAACCTGCTTGACCTTCAGCCCCTCCTGTCTTCACAGTGCTGTTTTATTCCTGACCTGATCACACACATAACAGGTTGGGAGTCCCCAGAAGTGGCCTGTGCCCTCGGTGGGGACCCAGCGGTGATCAGAGACCCTGCCTGCAAACCATGGCCTTGGTGTTGACCAATAAGTGAGTAAAGCAAGCAGCTCTCACCAGTCCACAGCACTTTATAGGTAACAGTTTCCACTCACACCACACCCTTAAGGATGGAGACCTCTGTTTAAGTGAAACAAAATATGTGTCTCCCATTAAAGTGGTAGTGTGTTTCATATTCATTGGAAGAGAAGATTCACTGAGAAAGGCGATTTTATGTATTTTTTGGCTGTGCTGGGTCTTCATTGCTCTGAGGGCTTTATTATGGTGAGCGGGGGCTACCCTTTAGTTGCGGTGCTGGGCTGGCCACTGAGGTGGCTGCTCTTGTCGCAGGGCACAGGCTCCAGGGCGTGCGGGCTTCAGTAGTTGCAGCTCTCGGGTTCTAGAGCACTGGCTCAGTAGTTGTGGTGCATGGGCTTAATTGCTGTGTGGCATGTGGAATCTTCATGGACTGGGGATCAAACCCACGTCTCCTGCATTGGCAGGTGGATTCTTTACCACTGAGCACCAGGGAAGCCCAAGAAAGGTGATTTTTACATGTATTTGTAATTAATCCCACCATCAGGGTTTCCCTGGTGGCTCAGATGGTAAAGAATCTGCCTGCTCTATAGGAGACCTGGGTTCCATCCCTGGGTTGGAAAGATCCCCTGGAGAAGGGAATGGCTACCCTCTCCAGTATTCTTGCCTGTAGAATCCCATGGGTAGAGGAGCTTGGTGGGCTGCAGTCCATGGGGTCACAGCATCACAATCCTATCATCAGCCGCAAAAGCAAAATTTGTATATTTGGGAAAAGGAAAATCAAAGAAGATCCATGTATGAGATCATGCCTTGTTTTCAGTCTCTTGAACAAAAAGCTTGGTGTGGATGTGAATTTACAGTGGACAATATTGCCTCAGTCCCACAAGGGGTCACTGTTGATCTCATTTGTCCAGTCTCCCTGCAGCCCAGTGGTAACAATGTCAGCAGGAGCCTAAGTGGGACCGAGCTGGGGGCTTTGGGCAGTGCCGCGCCTACAAACCAACTCCTTGGCCCAACCCTTGGCAGAGTCCTCCCTTCCTAAGTTACCTGGAGGCGGAGTACCTGTGTGCATGAGTAGTGATGGCAAGGGCCAGGGAAACCCGTGCGTGGCTGAACGTTTGTGCAGAATAAGTATTAGCCCCCTCACCTCTTCTCATGTGTGTGTGTGTAGTATCCAGGAGGTACAAAGATGACCGGGATCACATCCCTGGTGGGAAAAGTCCCGACTCTGAAATGAGCCAGACCTCAGTTCTGGCCCCAGCCTGACCACTTAGATCCTGGGCAAGTCTGTTACTCCTCTGAGACCTCCCTGTGAAGTGGGGACGATACATATTCCCACATAGGCATGTTTCAGGGATTAACAGATAATCTGTGTGATGTTCTTTGTAAACTGTCAGTGTTTGCACAGAACTGGCTCTCAATCCCCTCACTGAGATAATCAGAGCCTCAGGCTACCCAGCTTGTAAGAAGCAGAAATCCCGAGTCATAAAGTGCCCGATCTGCCTCCATCCTGAAGAAGTCACCCTCCAACAGACACATCTCCAAATGTCCCTGGTATTGCAGGCTGAGAGCGAAGAGGCAGGCTGGGAGACGTGCCTGGTTCCCAGGGTCCAGCGTCATTGCAGAGACCTGACTACAGAGCAGGGGAATGTTGTTGGCCAGGCAGGATCAGCTGGATCAGTGGCTCATGGTTCCCATCCGCTTGTTGATTTATTCGTTGGCTCAACCAACCTCATTTTGAGTGGCTTCAATGTACCAGGTGCCGTACCAGGCTGTTGGCATACAACAATGACCAGAACAGACATAGTGCCTGCAAATGCAGGGAGAGGCTAGAGGTTTTGCCCTCCCCATTTTCTCATTAGCCACCTCTGATTCGCAGAACAAAATTAGGTCTAAGTTGTTGCAATAGTTTTTTTTCTCAGAACACAGTAGAATGAAAAAGTGCTTTCCATCAAAATGATATAAAAATGATTAAATGAGAGACAGAAGGAAAACTTTTTCCTGGTGGAGGTGGAGGACGGGAGAATCTTGCCATGTTATTCACGCACATCCCGTGTACACTTTTCCTGGGGATTCTTGTTTTTTGCCTGACAAAGATGTGAATTTGTTGTTGTTTAGTTGCTCATTCGTGTCTGACTCTTTTGCGACCCCATGGGCTGTAGCCTGCCAGGCTCCTCTGGCCATGGGATTTCCCAGGCAAGAATGCTGGAGGGGGTTGCCATTTCCTCCTCCAGGGGATCTTCCCCACCCAGGGATCCAACCCGAGTCTCCTGCCTTGCAGGCAGACTCTTTGCAGTTGAGCCACTGCAGAAGCTCCAAAGATAGGAATACTGCTCCTAACAGAGGGTGGGTTTTACTAACACGTTCATTTGTTGAACAAATGTTTGTGGGTCACTGGTGACATATAGGGTCCAGCCTTGGTGTGAGTGATACAAGGGAGTTAGTCACATTTCCTGCTCTCCACAGACTCTCTGTCTTGTAGAACAGACAGACGTGCTCTAATAGTGCAGGACACAGCACGTGTGTGTTCAAGGGGCAGCAGAGATAATCCAGGATGGGGAGACCACTCCTAGCCGGGGGATCCTGAGTTTCTTTCCCAGGACATGTGGCTTTGGAGTTCGGCCTTGAAGAAAAGGTAAAATTCTAGTGCTTGGGGAACTGGGGGAGGGGAGTCCACAGAGGAACCACCAAACCGTGGGGGGAAGAAAGAGTTATTAGAGTTGTCTGAGGATGCATGAAGTGAGATTGTGATAGTGGAAGAAAAAGTGAGAAAATTCAAAAGGCGTGGTACATGAAAAACCTCAGGACCTGGCAGCTATGAACACATTGGAAAGTGAGGGAGCCGGTGTAAAGGATGACTCCTGGCCTCTCAGCCTGACGGACTGCTCAGCTGTGGTTCTGATCACTGCTGTGGAGTCAGGAGGAGAGATGCCAAGGGAAGTGATAAAGTAAAGTCTGAGCATATTGAGTCCCTAATTCCTTAATGCCAAAAAAGGGAACATTCCAAAGAAAAAAGAGGTGGGAACGTGGCCATTGGTTGTACTTTTGTAGTTGGTGCACTGGGTACAACTCCAGGAGGCGCTATTCTGAACTCTCGAAGGGAACGGCGCTCGCTGGAGCAGGGCAGCATGGAGGCCCTGTGTGGGGTGGACCGTCAGCCGAGAAGAAATCATGTCCGGTTTGAGCTCTTCCTTCTGATTGCCTGTGACTCATTATGGTCTTTTTCCTGTTGCAGTTATCGCCTGTGTGACCCTTCTGAACGAAAGTTATATGGAAAATCACCTCTCTTTGGACAGTATTTTGTTCTGGAAAACCCAGGGACCATCCACGTGGGAGACCCTGTGTACCTGCTCGGCCAGGAATAGGAATCATATGTCCTGGAATAGCAGATGCCTTTCAAAAATGTCTTCAAAACTGATAACACTTGAAACACAGTATTTTGGAATGGGCATTTGACTCCTCAGCGTTTTCTTTAGAACTGTAGTCTCCAAGTTTTCCATCTTTCTCTGGACTTCTTCCTCATGTCCCAGTGCTTCCAGCATCCCAGGGTACAAAGCAAAGGTTTGATAACTTAATAGGACTTCAGTAAGTCACCTAAATGACAAGGCAGGATTCTAAAAATTGCTTTATGTTTAACTATGATTGTGGAATAACTCTTTCTCCTTCTTCTCCATTCACCTACTCATAACCTCCATCATGTCACTGCTATGCCTTAGGGAAAAGGAGAGAAGAGAAAGGGTGGGAGATTGAGAAGAATGTTCTGGAATATTTTCTTACCCCATGCCTCAGCATGCAATGGAAATTAAATAGCACTCCAAATAAGGCTGGACTGTCACTTCACTTTCCCCCCTCAAGTCCTAGACAGGCTTTTAAAAGGGTATAAAGAGCCTGACCTTCAGTAAACACTTAGACGTGCGTCTTCCCTAGATCATTTTGGATCTGGTACTATTACCTCCTCGTGTCCATGGGCATTTGATGGATCCTTCATGGCACATTGTGCCTTGGTTGGCAGGACAGCAGAGATGTCAGGGAAGAAAATCAACTCATGAGAGCAGCACTGCTGTCAGACTCTGATATGGAATAGGAGAAACGGAAGACAAACAAAATCTTCCTTGCCATGAAACAGAGTATCAACTGTATCCCATTGGTGAGACCAGACTTTTCCCAGTATACAAGAGAGAGCAGTCATGCTAAGTAGGCGAGGCACCCTTGTCTCCTGTTGTCTGGGATGCTATTGGGGTTGCCCTGGGAAACGATGCCCAAAGAAATGGTCAGGAGAGGACAGGATGCCACCTAGTGGCNATTGGTGAGACCAGACTTTTCCCAGTATACAAGAGAGAGCAGTCATGCTAAGTAGGCGAGGCACCCTTGTCTCCTGTTGTCTGGGATGCTATTGGGGTTGCCCTGGGAAACGATGCCCAAAGAAATGGTCAGGAGAGGACAGGATGCCACCTAGTGGCATTGTCACAGCTCAGCCATGCTGTTGAAAAGATGGAAACGTATGGATGGGTTTTAGTTTTCTGTCCTAGAAAAATTTTTTGAAAGAAACTGAGTAAACTCTAGGTATTCTCTGCTTCTCTGCTGTGGGAATTTGGTCCTAAAAGCGTGGCTGTGCTGCCACGGGGTCCTTCTGGATCTTGGTCCCATCAACTCAAGGCTGGTTGCTTCTCCTCAAAACCAGGATGAAAAAGTTGTGAGATCCATGGATGAGAAGAAATGTGATTGTGTGATTTGAAATAAACCACAAAGGAGAAAAGGAAAACATATGTCAATTCACTTAACAACCAGTATCTAATTTTTCTCCTGATCAAATTATATAACTCTAGTATCTGACGATGTTTATCTTTCATTGCCATTTTGCTCTTTGTATTAGGAAGCTAAGTCATGAAAAATGTGTTTCAAAACTAAATAAATGGAAGCTGCTTTGACTAGTTTCAGGTTGTACTCACTTCTTGGCAAGAAGTCAGACTTTGAAGCTGACAGATGTGAATGGGCAAAACCAATCATTCTGTCACCTCACACACACACACACACACACACACACACACACACACAACATCCTCAGGCATGCTCTCGTCTTTGAAGGGCTGTCACGTAAACATACTTTTTAACTTAAAGCCATGTATGTTTCACTTTGGTTTTATAAAAGCCGTTAGTAATGGTTGGAACCTAGCCTAGCTCTGAGGTTAAGTTATAAGGTAACAGGTGCACGTATATATGTTTTCTGGGCGGTGAATTATTGCAATTTGTTTTCCCCACACTTGAAGTGAAGTGGAATTAGAATAATTGATCAGTCATCCTTGGCCCATCACCTTCCCCAATAAATTCACTTTATGTTGAAACTAAAGATAAATTAAAGTAAAAATACTGGATTGGCCAATACAGTGGAAAAACCCAAGCGAACTTTCTGGCCAACCCAATAAGTATTCAGCAGGTAGCATTACTAATTGGACCTTGGAAATCCATGGCAGAACACACACAGGATTTAGGAAACCATATGATTATCAGTTCTGTTGAGAGCAGCCAATACTTAGACAGTGATGAGAAACTCAAGGTTGGTTTGGTGGCTGGCCCTAGATAGTATTCATAGGCAAGGTGAATGCCTTAGACTGGAACTTCTAACCCCTTGTCAATAGTAACAGCCACTCCGGAGGGACTCAGTCTGTGTCAAAGGCCACACTCATGCAGGCCCTGTCCTGTGCATTGCAGGGCAGCCTTCCAATCGAAGGGGAACCTAACCCCCTCCTCATTTGTGCAGAGTCTCCTGCTCCTCAGAGTGTGAGGAAGATTCCAGTTTTAAGACAGAGGTTCCAGTGACCTCTAGAATCTCAGAGTTGTTGCCAAGCTTTCTGTCAGTGAGATTTAAAAACCATTTACTTGTGTTTATTTTATATTTAATGAGTTGGTTAATGCCAAAGGCAGGACTGAAGTCTGGTTTATTTTGGAGACTGAACCTTTGCACACAATTGCACGTGAAGTAGAGGGTCAGGAATAGAGACCGTCGCAGACCCTCAGCGAGGTCTCCGTAAAGCTGTGGACGATGACTTTGATGGTCAGACAAAAACGGCCACTGTCATTGTGTGTTTCGTTCTGGGTGGCAATGTCTTCTGCAGCCACAGCAGAGAATTACAGACCCACAGCTGGAGACCCTGCAAAGGACGATGTGGGAAAAAGCCTAGGCAGGCTGCTTAAAGGGCCGCGTCGCCAGCTATTCCCCAGGAAAGGTCAGATCATCACAAATAGGAGCGAGAAAAAAGAACTTACACACAAGGGCAGAAAGAAATCAGGGTGGGCCTGATGGAAATGAGGCCGGACAATGGGAGAAACTCCTCGTCTCCTTCTGCCTATAGTGGTACAGGGTGAGGAGATGCCTTTGGGGGAGGGCTGCGAGTTTGCTAGAACCGTGTGAAAAGATCAGGCGAGCTTGACTTAGCCAAGTGTGACTTTGGAAAACCATCTGTGAGGCTGTCACCAGCAGTGGTGGTAGGCAGGTACCCCCCAGAACTCTGTGACAAATCAAAGCAATCCATGGCGGCCAAGAACGGACCCTGTGGAGTCACTCAAAGATGCCAGAGTGACTCTCAGACCTGTTGATACCTTAACACCGCACATCACTAAGTTTGCCTGGGTCCGGGATGTTCTGAAAGTTTGCTTGCAGTGTTAGTCACTCAGTTGTGTCCAACTCTGCGACCCCATGGACTGCAGCCCTCTAGGCTCCTCTGTCCATGGGATTCTCCAGGCCAGAATACCGGAGTTGGTAGCCATTCCCTTCTCCAGGGGATCTTACCGACTCAGAGATCGAACCCAGGCCTCTTGCATTGCAAGCGGATTCTTTACTGTCTGAGCTAGCAGGGAAGCTACTAAAAAATGAATTCCCTGGACTAATAACTTTGGGAAGTCTGGCATGCCTCACTCCTCTTCCAAAGGCCCAGCAGCCAGTACAGGGCGCCAGAGAGAACTGCAGTGAAGAATTTTGTTTGGGTTTAACACTGCCCTCCCCAGAGGCCTATTTCTGGTCACCTTTTGGGAAGCTCTGCACTGATCTCTAGAGGGAGAACCAGCCAGAAATGAGCTCCGTGCTGAGCCAGAGAGATTGTTCATGGAAAGAGGGAAGACAATAAAGGCCCCTGCCACATGGAAGAGGCCTCTCTCACCGGACCAGAAGGATGGGACTGGACTGAAAGGTTAAAGGGAGGCGTGGAGAGGGTGTCTTAGGCCAGCTCTCCTGCCAAAGGCCTTAGGAGAAGCAGTTCCTTTCTTTGGGCTCATTTTCCAGACCTGTTTTCGTGGTTAGATGGAGTGGATCAGAGTGAGGGGTGGAAACCCAGGCTCTTCAGTCCCGGTCTTACAGTGGTATGTAACAAGGGCTCCAGCAAGCTTCACGGGCCGGGCAGGCCCCATCCCCTGTCTGCCAGCTACACCTTTCTATGGCAACTTCGCTCAACCAGAGTTGCCTCCCACCACATTAAGCAGAATTACCCCGGGGGCGCTAGTGCCCCCGACGCTACGTACACATTCACTTTATACTATGATCTCATACCAGCAAGAACAGACATTATTTGCTTCTACCGCTTTCTTAGAAATGGACGAGTGAGTTATGATAGCATCTCAAGTTACCCAGTTTCAAGAAAGGGGAAGGATCTGGCTCAGTACCACGATGTTCTTAGAATTGGGATAATAAAAATGTACCTGAGGCATTTGTTTGTCTGCATGGACTGCACTGTCTTCAGAGGAGAAGGCTCACGCCACCCCCTTGACTCTGATCCTGCCCTCCCTCAAAACACTGACAGGGAATCGAGGGGCCACGTGGTCTCACGCTCCGCGGTCTAGCTCAGAAAGAGGAGTTGGCGTTAATCACATTATTAGTCTTCCTGGACAGACAGTTGGCTGTATTAAGGAAGAAAGGGACCTGAGAAGTGACTTCTCATTTGACTTCTTCCAAGGCTGGTTTTATTAGATGGGTCAAGTTCATTCATATTTGATTATTGATAAGTCTCATCTCTTCACCCTTGGTGGTCCTCTGTCATGCTCCTTTACCTTTAGAGAGCATTTTATTTTATTGTATTTACTTTTAATATTGTACTAGCTTTTAAAATTTTTGTGTTTAATTTTAAAAAATTATTTATTTGGCCACCCTTTGCAACACATGGGATCTTAGTTCCCTGACCGGGGCTCGAACCCATACTCCCTGCAGTGGAAGTGTGGTGTCTTAACCAGTGGATCACCAGGGAAGCCCCCTCCTAGAGCATTTTAAATGGTTCTTCCCTCTGCCTCCCTCATGAGGCCCACAGCCCCTGATTCTTCTTCATCCTTGGAAGCCCCTCTTCTCCCTGCCTGTGTCTTCAATGGTCAAGGTTCTAGTCCATATGGAGCTTGGTGGGATCTAAGTCAAGTTCAAACCCCTATGTGCTTTGCTGGGAGTATTGTAAATAAGGTATTGTTGTCATAATTATTTCTGATTAATATTTTTACACGTAATAAAGTCTCAAAGAGATGGCATGCACTTGGTCTAGGGGAGGACCATCTTCCAGATGACTTGCCAGCAATTAAAGTGGCTTGTTAGTCGGAGGCCTAGGACGACCGAGGACAGCTGGAGAGCTCTTCTTTGCAAGCAGCTCTGGTTAACATCAACCGGGAAAGCTCTTTGTAAACACATGAATAATTGATCGTCCCGCGCTCACATAGCTACCGAGGATCTGAGCCCGTATGACTCATTTGCGAGCCATTCCTGTCGTCTGGATGCCATAACATTGGAGGAATGATGATCGTTTCTTGGAGATTCTTCTGTGGCCAGAGTTGCCAAGACCAAGGCTGTAATG